TCCAGAATTAGGGATGATGAACATGTAATGTATGAGTAAACTTCTGCGTGATGTATTTTACTAAACAAATAGTTAAGGGGAGGAACATAACAAGAAATAATAATATTTTTTAATTAAGTCCACATCTTCCCTGGCTAGTTTGGCTCAGCGGTTGGAGCATCAGCCTGCAGACCAGAGTCATGTCAAGGTTCGATTCCAGCCAAGGGCATGTACCTCAGTTGCAGTTCAGTTCCCAGCCCTGGTTGGGGCCGTGCAGGAGGCAACCGGTCGATGTGTCTTTCTCACATAATTGTTTCTCTCTCTCTCTCTCTATCCTTCCCCCTCCCCCATCTGAAGATGGATGGAAAATTATCCTTAGGTGATGATTAAAAATAAAAAATTAGCCCTGGCCGGTTTGGCTCAGCGGTTAGAGCGTCCGCCTGTGGTCCAGAGAGACCCGGGTTCGGTTCCCGCTAAGGGCATGTACTTCGGCTGCAGTTTGTCCCCGGCCCTGGTTGGTCATGCAGGTGGCAGCCACTCGATGTGTCCCTTTCGCATCGATGTTTCTCTCTCTCTCTCTTCCCCTCTCTCCCTCCCACTCTATCTGTACAAAAAATGGAAAAATGTCCTCCTCGGGTGAGGATAAAAAAAATAAATAAAATAAATAAAAATAAAAAATTAAGTCCACATCTACCAGCTAACTTGTGAACAAGTTTTAAATAACTTCTTGCAATGAATTAAATGTGCTTTGTAATATTCCAATCCACTTGATCATTCATTCAATGTTTCATCAAATATTTAATTCCTATTAAATAGACATTGTTCACCTTTAGCACTGTTTTATGTGCTAAAGACCATAGGCATGAGCAAAACAGATGGGAAATGCTACTGTCATAGAACTAATAGTTCTGGGGTGAAAACAACACTAAACAAATGCCAGATGGTGATAAGTGCTGGAAAGAAAAATACTTCACAGAAGGGGCAACGGTTGAAATTTAAGGTAGGATAGATGAAAGAGTGATGGTGGCTTGGGTGTAAAGTGGTAACAAGTAGAGAGACTGAGAAGTGGCTAGATTCTAAATATATTTTCATGTTAGAACCAACACTATCGGCAGGTGGGTATAAGATATGAAAAAGAGAAGAGTCAGGGATGACAACAAGGTTTAGAGCTTAGCAAAGAGATGGATGGGCAGTTACCACTTACTGAGATCAGTCTGTGGTAGGAGCAAATTTTGGGGGAAGGGGCCCTAATCTGTCTAGGTTTAGTTTCAGAACCATATTCACTTTAAAGAGGAGATGCTGAGTAGGCAGTTAGTCATACAGGTCTGCAGTTTAGGGTAGTCCTCCAGGATATAAATACATTTGGGAATTATTAAAATTTCAAGCTCTGAGAGGAGAAAAACTCAACAGGGAATGAGTATAGAGAGAGTAGAGTTTCAAGAAATGAGATGGTTGCTAGAGAGGGGTGTGGGGTAAAGAGTTTTTTCCCTCCAAAAGGTGTGTAGGATAATGAGAATGAGGAAAAGGTGATGCTGGAGAGTGCAGAGAACTGCTTGAGCAGTTGCTGAAGGAGTAGTTTCAAATATTACTGAAATACAGCATCCTGTCTCTGAGGACAGGAAAGGATACATAAAAGCATTAAGATGCATAAAGGCCAGAGACGTAAGCATTAAAGACATTGTTCACCCTGAGAGTCAATGATAAAACTAACTCAAGCAATAAAAGAGGTTAGTAGTGTAGTAAGACATACAGTTAACACAAAAACCAACAGCCTACAAAACATATCTGACAACGGATTTATCTAGAACATACAAAAAAATCTCACAACTCAATAATAAAATAAAACAAACAATCCAATTAGAAAATAAGCAAAAGAGTGGTTGCCAGAGATGGGGTTGGGGGATGGGCAAAATGGGTAAAGAGAGTCAAAAGGGACGGGTGATTACTAGATTAGTGGGGTGATCACTTTATAAGGTGTAAAAATGTCAAATCACTTTATTTATTGTACACCTGAAACTAATATAACCAATATAAGATTGTATACCAACTATACTTAAAAAATAAATTTTTAAAATGGTACAAATTTTTAGTTAAAAAATAAGTCATGGGGATGTAACATATAGCACAGTGACAGGGACTATAGTTAATAAATACTATATTGCATATTTTAAAGTTGCTGAGAGAGTAGATCTTAAAAGTTCTCATCACAAGAAAAAAGAATAAAAATTGTGTGGTGATGGATGTTAACTAAATTTACTGAGGCAATACTTTTATAGTATATACATATATCAAATCATTATGTTGTACATCTAAAACTAATACAATGTTGTGTGTTAATTATATCTCCATTTTAAAAATTAATGTAAAAAAAGAAAATACGCAAAAGACATGAAGGGAGATTTCACTAAAGAGAATAAACAAATAGCAAATAAGCACATAAAAAGTTGTTCGACATCATTTGTCAGTAAGGAAATGGAAATTAAAACCACAATGTGATATCCCTACACACCTATCAGAATGACTAAAATAAAGCATAGTAACAACACCAAGTGCTGGCAAGTATACATAAAAACTGGATCACTCAAACACTGCTGGAGGGAATGTAAAATGGTAATTTGTACAATGACAAATTAGTTTGTCAGTGTTCTAAAGAACTACACATACACTTATCATACAACCCAACAATTGTACTCCTGGGGATTTATAATCCCAGAGAAATAAAAACTTATGTCTGCATGAAAACCTGTACATAAATATTTATAGAAGCTTTATTTGTAATAGCTCTAAACTGGAAACAACCAGATGTCCCTCAAGGAGTGAATGGTTCTACAAACAGTGACACATCTATACCACAGAATATTACTCAGCAATGAAAAAATGAACTACTGATACATACAACAACTTGAATAAATCTCAAGAGCATACTGGCTGAGTATAAAAAGCCAGTAACAAAGGGTCCCATATTAGATAATTCCAATTTTATAACGTTTTTGCAATGACAGAATTATAGAGGTGAGGGAGCAGATTAATGATTACCAGAGGTTAGGGATGGTGGATAGGGGAAGGGTGGTATGAGTACTAAGGAAGAATTTTGCGGTAATGAAAGAATTCTCCATCTGTATTATTAGTGGTGATTATAGGATCTACACACATGACAAAATGGCACAGAGCTACATACACAGAGTGTTCCAATGTCAGTTTCCTGGTTTTGGTATTGTACTACAATTATGTAAGATGTAACATTGGGGGTAACTGGGTAAAGGTTACAAGGGGACTCTGGATTATCTTTGTAATTTTCTGTGAGTCTATAATTATCTCAAAATAAAAAGTTTGGAAACACATAATGCATCCCTGAAATTATATCTTATACCATAAGGTATCTTAGAACTCAAGTCAAAATAAATATGTGATTCTTTAATTAAAAAATTAATAACCTAGCCCTGGCCGGTTTGGCTCAGCGGTTAGGGCGTCGGACTGCGGTCCTGAGAGACCCGGGTTCGGTTCCCGCTAAGGGCACGTACCTCGGTTGCAGTTTGTCCCCGGCCCTGGTTGGGTCGTGTGGGTGGCAACCACTCGACGTGTCCCTTTCACGTCGATGTTTCTCTCTCTCTTCCTCTCTCTCCCTCCCACTCTATCTGAACAAAAAATAGAAAAAATGTCCTCGGGTGAGGATAAAAAATAATAATAATAATAATAATAATAATAATAATAACCTAGTACATAAGTGTTTATAGGAGCTTTATTTGTAGTAACCCCAAAATGGAAACAATCCCAATGTCCAGGGATATGCATAATGATATACTACTCAGCAATAAAAACAAATGAACTGATGGTACATGCAATATGGATGCATCTGAACATAGTTATGCTGAGTGAAAGAAGTCAGATAAAAAAGAATACATAGTGTATGACTTTATAGAAAATATAAATTAATCTATAGTGACAAAAATCAGATCAATCATTGCCTGGGGGGTACTGTTTGTGGGGAGAGATGAGAAGAGGGAATTATATGGGGGCAAGAAGGAACTTTTGGGGATGATGAATTTGTTTACTATCTTGATTGTGGTAATGGTTTCTTGAGTGTACATATATGTCAAAACTTACCAAATTGTATACATGAAATATGTATGGTTAATGGGATGTCAATTATAATTCAATAAGGTTTAAAAAACCAGTAGCTTACCCAAATAATAACCAGTTCGAATATATCATAGAAAAGAACACCCCATTTACAATAGCAACAGAACATTACTTAGGAACCAACCTAAGAAATGTATAAAACCTTGAGTTCTTTCCTCTTATTCCTGGTCCTTCTCTATCTATCAACAGTTCACACCCCGTTTCTTTAAAACTTCTGCAATAAAATTTTACTTCCATAATAAAATTTGATGTTCCTCTAGCACATGTGACATTCCTTGTTTACCATCTAGTGTTATCTTCATGGATCTTCATATAATGGATACCTCTGGTAATGTGATTTACAAATGCAGAGCAGGTCTACAAAATTTATACCACTGCCTTATGCTTTCTCATCCCTGCTCTCCTTGAAGAGTACACAGACTAGAGTAAAGAGAGGTGAAGAGGACTATTCTCACAGAGTGGGGAGGAGTTCAGATATGTCTTTTCTTTGGTAGGAGAAGTAAACCATTTTAAAGTAGTATCTGCATCATTAGCTTCCTCCACACTTTCTCTCTAATTAGGCAGAATAAGGGAGTGATGTTATCTATGACTTTCCCCAAACAAAGCTTCCTGTGAAACGAATGCTTTCCTTGCTAAAATGACAAATCTCAGTTCAGCAGAGTCTTATGGAAACGGGATCTGCAGAGACACACCGACATACAGGGATGTGAATCTAGCCCTCCTACCCACACAGTATTTTTAGTTAGATGCCACTTTCAGAGTTCTTCACGAGGGTAATTTTTAACTGCTAGGAATGCACACCATTTGGGAAGGCAGATTTCAAATGTACATAAAAAATATCACATCTGTGAAAAATTTTAAAAACTGCCAATATACTTACAGTTTTTTTCATTATTTTTAAAAGCTTCTCTTGCTTCTTCGAATGTGCAGACTTCTCTTTTGCATTCACAGTTCAGTGTTGCCCTGTTTTATTTCTTCAAAAAGTCCATTAGCTCTTGGGTAGCGTTTTAGTACTGAATTGGCTTTGTCTCCCATGAGGAAAACTAAAAAGAGATATAATAATAAGCATAAAATTATAATAAACATGTGGAAAGTTAATATATAAGATGAAAACTGCTAGATGCTCCTTAGAAAACAAAGCCAACACCCTAAACTTCTTTCTGTGAGTCAGCAATGAAGTAATTAATATTTAGCTCCAAACCACCACATCTGCCATCTTCCTCATCACATATGTCCTTTCAGTAGCAGTTGCCCTGGGCAGGGGCAGTGACATAGTTAACTATATTATATTCAGGCTTTAGCACATTCCTGTCAACCATGGGGGTTTAAATATAGTAATAATGATAGCACCACTTATAGCTATTATTATAAGTAGATACCCTGAAGCACTCTGCTGTTGGACAGCAGCAAGCAAATCAAAATTCAGCCTCTAGACTATCAGTCTTTGTCCCTTAACTAAAAATAAATAGAATGCCAACTGACCTAATAATATAAACCCAGAGGAGCCTTACCTGTATGGAAAATAAGAGGTGACAAAACAATATCAAGAAATTAAAATGAATATAGCCATAATTCATTCCAAGGAACACTAATAATTATATTCTAAATTCATTTAAGTTAAATATATTGCGACACTTTAATATATTCAACCCCATTTCACAGTCCTTCAGAAAAAGAAATTCTGCATGACTTACAGAGGCATTTCATATAAACATTCAAAATACAAATTTATTATACCCAATATAATAAATAAGGCAATAATTATATGCACAGTTATGGGGAATTATTTTTATTTTTACATACACATTCATTTAAAATAGTGGTTCTCAACCTTTTTTTTTCTTTATTAATTCTTTAGAGGGAGAGGGAGAGATAGAAACATCAATGAGAGAGAACATCGACTGGCCGCCTCCTACATGCCCCTCACTAGGGATTGGGCTCACAACCTGGGCATGTGCCCTGACCAGGAATTGAACCAGCGACCTCTTGGTGCATGGGCCGACGCTAAACCTCTGAGCCACACCGGCTGGGCTGGTTCTCAACCTTCTTAATGCTGCGACCTTTTAATACAGTTCCTCATGTTGTGGTGACCCCCAACCATAAAATTATTTTCGTTGCTAGTTCATAACTAATTTTGTTACTGTTATGTATTAGGTGACCCCTGTAAAAGGGTCGTTCGACCCCCAAAGGGGTCGTGACCCACAGGTTGAGAACCACTGATTTAAAACTATATTTCAATTACATTTTTCTGAAAGTGTCATACTTATTTGCAGAGATAAATACAATGCTACTTAAAATTAATCTCTGCTACTGCAAATAAATTAGAAAATTCTCTAATCTGATAGACTTCTGACATAAGAGAAGGCACATTACAGATCCTTCAAGATGTTTAAAAATGTCCATATTTTACAAATAACATTTTGAAGTAAATGAAAAACAGCAAATGCTCTTTTAAAAATGATAACAATAGCAATGAATTTAAGTTTCACCTCATTAGAGAGATGTGTCTTTCATTGTATACAAGATAGAGATTTATTACTGAGGATTCTTTAAACTATCCAAATTGATACCAGCTAGATGTACCTATACTAGGCTGAAAACTATAGTGGCCTTCCATAAGTGTTTCCTTCCTTCTGTACCTCAGAAGGTAACCATCTATCAATGAATCATACAGTGCTAAAATACCATTAGAAGAAATCTTTTAAAACTGTGATAAGTGCTATGAAGGAAACTAAAAGGGTGCTACTGAGATGAGAAATATCAGTGGAATTTTTCTGTCAGTGCTTCTCACAGCTTAGCAGCATCATAATCCTGTGCCCAGCTCCCAGAGTTTCTGATTCCATAAGTCTGGGTGGGGCCACTAACTTGCATTTCTAATAAGTTCAAAGGTAATGCTGGTGCTACTAGTCCTAATACCACATTTTGAGAACCACCACCCAAATGTGAGTTTCTGAGAAAACTAGTTCTGAAGAAGGAATTTATATAATGCTAGGATTAAAAAATTTAAAAAGACATTTTGGGGGATTCCAAAATGGCAGGGGAGTGAATGAAAGCTACACAGACCATCTCCCAGGACCAAACTGCAATTACAACGAAAGTAAAGACAAATCGTCAGGAAAAAGCAACAGAAAAGCAGCTTGGAGGACCATATAACCAGGGACACTGACTCAATCCTGGTAGGCTTGTGGAGTTGCGGGAGGCGGGCTGGGAGCCCACGGTCGGCAGCGGCCTTAGCAGTGAGCAGCGGCCTTAGCTGGAAGCAGCAGCCTTGGCTGGGAGCGGCGCCCTCGGGTTAAACACCCAAGCGGCTCCACAGTGCAGAGCCAGGACAGAGGCTAAAATAGCCACAGCCACTCACCTTGGGCTCCAGCAGAAGAAGGGTGGACTGGACTGGAACTGTGTGGGGACACTCCGGATTTGGAGGGCACTCACAGCTTTTGCTGAGTTGCAGCCACGCAGGACTGTGGTCATCTTACTCCTTCCCAGGGCTCCTGGGAGAGGCAGCAGCACCTCCCTCGTATATTCAACCCCACCCAGTGGCCATTGAAATGCAAATTGAGGCCCATTAACAACCAGCATCTGCCCTACCCTCCGGACATCCTCTTACTCTGAGCACCTGAGGGAGTTTTTCATTCAATTGAGAGGCCAAGGCACTTCAGGTAAGCACTAATGATAGCCTCCAGGCAAAAAGTTAGAGGATAACTGTACCAACCCTGGCCTAACAACTCTAACCAGAAAAGTAAGACTTGACAGTGGTGTTTAACTTGGGTCCTCCCTGGAGCATCCAAACCCAGGAGAGGGAACCACAAACAGCAGAACACCAACACCCACAGGGAAAATTTGGCAGGCTCCAAAGCCCACTGTAATAGCCAAAATGGTAAAACACAGAAACAAAAGCCAAATGAAAGAATAAGAGACCTCTACCAAAGATGAGAAAAATGAGGTGCAATTAAACAAGTTAACAGAACTAGAATTCAGAGCCATGATCTTGAGGAAGCTCAACACCATGTGTAAGGACATGAGCAATATGAGTAAAGACATAGAAATGTTGCAAATCAACCAGTTGGAAATTAAAAACCACCAAGAAGAAATAAAGAATGACATATCAGAAATAAATAACACATTGGAAAGTCTAAATAGCAGAGTAGATGAAGCTGAAGACTGGATCAGTGAATCAGAAGATAGGGTAGAAAAAAATTAACGAATCAGAAAACCAAAAGGAAAAAACAATTAAAAAACAGGAAGACGCCTTAAGAGAACTGTGGGACAACTGGAAACGTAATAATATTTGCATCATAGAAGTCCCTGAAGAAGAAGAAAATGAGCAAGGGTTAGAGAATATATTTGAAGAAATACTGACAGAAACCTTCCCTAATTTGGTGAAGGAAGAAGGCATTCAAGTTCAAGAAGCACAGAGAGCCCCAAGTAACAAGAACCCAAACGGGCACACACCAACACATACAGTAATTAAAATGCCAAAAATTAAAGACAAAGAGAGCATCCTAAAGGCAGAAAAAGATAAGCAACACGTTACCTACAGAGGAAACCCTGTAAGGCTGTGAATTGACTTCTCAACAGAAACACTACAGGCCAGAAGGAAATGGCATGAAGTAATCAAGGTCATGAAAAACAAGGATCTGAATCCAAGACTACCATATCCAGCAAGGCTATCATTCAAAATAGAAGGTCAAATAAAGAGCTTCCTAGACAGAAAAAGGGCTAAGGGAATACATTAGCACCAAATCAGCACTGCAAGAAATGTTAAAAGGACTGCTGTAATTAGCAGGAGATATAGGAAGAAAAATAGAACGACACTAAATAAAAATGGCAATAAATGAATACATATCAATAATCACCATAAATGTAAATGGACTGAATGCTCCGATGAAAAGACACAGAGCAGCTGATTGGATAAAAAAGCATGACTCATCTCTATGTTGTTACAAGAAACCCATCCCCCCAACAAGACTCACATAGGCTGAAAGTCAAGGGATGGAAAAAAAATCTTCCAAGCAAACGGAAAGGAAAAAAAAGCTGGGGTAGCAATACTCATATCTGATCAAATAGATTTCAAAATGAAGGCCATAACTAGACACAAAGAAGGCCACTACATAATATTGAAAGTATCTATTTAACAGGAAGATATAACCTTGATAAACATATATGCACCCAATATAGGAGCACCAACATATATTAAAAATCTTCTGGAAGACTTCAAAGGAGAAATCGATAGCAATACCAGGGGACTTCAACACCACCCTGACATTACTAGATAGATCCTCTAGACAAAAAATTAGCAAGGAAACACAGACTCTAAATGAAGCACTAGACCAAATGGATTTAATAGATATCTACAGAGAATTACACCCCAAAACTACAGAATTCACATTCTTATCAAGTGCACATGGGACATTCTCAAAGATAGACAACATGTTAGGACACAAACTAAATCTCTACAATTTCAAGAAGATTGAAATCATATCAAGCATCTTCTCAGATCAAAATGGCATGAAACTAGAAATAAATTGCAACACGAACATGCAAAGACATTTGAACACATGGAAGCTAAATAGCATGTTATTAAACAACAAATGAGCTACCGAGGAGATCAAGAAAGAAATTAAAAACTTCCTGGAAACCAATGAAAATGAACACACAACAACACAAAATCTATGGGATGCAGCAAAAGCAGTTCTGAGAAGCAAGTTCATAGCCCTACAGGCCTACCTTCAGAAATAAGAAAAATCTCTAATAGACTACCTAACCTCACAACTTAAAGAACTAGAGAGCAAACAAAAAGAAAACCCCAGAGCAAGTAGAAGAAAGGAAATAGTAAAGATCAGAGCAGAAATAAATGGCATAGAGTCCAAAAAAACAATTAAAAGGGTCAATGAAACAAAGAGCTGGTTTTTCGAAAAGATAAACAAGATTGATGGACCCTTAGCTAGACTCACCAAGAATCAAAGAGAGAGAACCCAAATACACAAAATCAGAAATGAAAGAGGAGAAGTAACAACTGAGACCACAGAAATACAAAGGATTG